ATAAAAAAAATTTAAGTCAAAGAGATTGAAATCAAATGGTAATTTATTTATTATTATATATAATTATTTTATTAAATTCAAAATTATTAGTAAGTTAGAATTAATAAGTATTTTTAATATTAATTATTAATAAATATATATAATAGAAATACAAAAGTTAAATAAGGCTTAGCATGAAAAAAAGTAATGTGTCGTCAGAAGCGATATCATTATTGAATTCAATTGATCAATCAGAGTTTATCATTGCTGCTAGTTGCATCAATAAATTATTTTCCTATAGCTCACTACTTTGTAGAAATCTACAAAAACCAAATTTAAATTTGGTTCAGGTTATTGATTAAGCAGAAAATAAATATGAACAGGTAGATACAATAAGAATGAATGCAGATGAATATTTTTATAATATTTATATAGACGTTATATCGAAGGCTAAATTTTATGATATAACACTAATTAAACCTCGTCTAGCACCTGGGCAATTATTGAGATGTAAAATAAATATTGGCTCAACTAAAGAATATTATAAAATATCCACTTTCATCCCATTCTTAGATACTTTTTTATCGCAAATAAAAGTACGGTTTTTAGATAAAAAACAAGTCTTTAGCAATCTTCAAGTTTTAATACCCAAAGATCTATCTTCGTTTTCTAATGACACTATTGGTAAAATTATTTTGCAAAATTTTATTCCTATGATATTGATACTGAAATAAATTTAATCAGTGAATTCGAATTGTGGTATAAATATTTACTACGTTTAGCTATTTTACCTGAGCATGCTATTGATGCTCTCAATCGGTGTAAAGAAACCTTGGCTCAAATTCCTAATATTTTGAAGTTGTTTTATATTCTACCATGTTTGTCTATAATAACATGTACGAATGCAAGGACTTTCCAACTTAAGAAGGTTGAAAACATATTTATGAAGTACTACTTCCGAATCTCGGCTAAATGGGTTAGCACTGTTAAATATCCACAGAGATTTGGTTCCAACGACAAACAAAATTCTTGATGAATTGGCAACATTCCCACGAAAATTAAAAATCACATTATAATTTTAGTATTTAATAAAAAATTTTGTATAATATTGTTTTTGATAAGAAGTTTAAAAAAACTTGTTTTTTAAATTATTTTCTTGTCAATATTTTATAGTGTTGTTAAACGCCTCGTTTTGAGCCGAATTTTAAAAACGGCTAACTCAGTTATTTATCCAGAAAAATATTATGCAAGCCTGAAAATTTTGCTCATAGAAGGAGCAAAGGTCTAGACATATAGTATCGAAATTTCGAGGCTTAGTTAATATTTTTCTGGCGAAAATATTGAGTTAGCCGTTTTTAAAAAGCGGCTCAAAACGAGCCGTTTACACTACTATTAGTATTTTCAATAAAAAAATTATATTATACTTATATTGTATGAGAATTTAAGCTGAGGCTAGTTTTTAGTTTTTAAAGCAAATTTTATAAAAAAAATGACATTAAACTTTATTTCAACTATACATTTAAAAAACTTTATTAATTATAATATACCTAACTAAAAATAATAAAAAATAGGCTTAAAATATCCATTAGCACAAATTAGTAAATAATAGTTACAAATAGAAATATAATTATTTAAACCATAAGCATAGCCGAAGGCCGGGGGAAAGCTGGCCGAAAGCCAGATAAGTGAGGTTTGGGGGCAAAGCCCACCAAAAATCCCCCCCCCCATAAGAAAATCGTGGATACGACACTGTCGTGGGGTATTTAGCATATTGATTGTAGGAGATATTTATTGTTAAATTTTTTATCCAATCCTTTACCAAGATTATACAGGGAAAATAATAAAATTATTACAGACCCCTAGGAACAATTAGCCACATGGATAGATCATTACATTAATCTTTACAGAATGAGATGGCCAAGATCTATATGTGATTATCCATTCCAATCACCTAATTGGAACCTTAGCAAGATGGATATAATCTGTGTCATTCAAAGCTGCCGGAATAGATGGGATCTTTGCAGAACTCTTGAAGATGGATAGATCTAAGGGCCAGTTTACTGCTTCCCCTTTTTAATGAGGTATGGAACACAGGCAACTTTACATAGGAATAGATGACATCGATAATATTATTTCCCTAAAAACAAAAAGCTTAATAGCCTGAAGGATTACAAAGGTATTAAACTGATCCCGATTATCCTAAAAATTTTCACATATATTATATGAGTCAGGATCAAACCAATCATCAATAGGATCCTATCAAAGGCTATCACATCGTACAGGAAGCGCAGAAACACAATGGAACTAACCATGGTGCTTAATCTGGAAAAAGCTAGAATGCATACGTCCCCAATTTTTACCTTAATGATTGATATAAGTCAAGCCTTTAATTCCATAATACAGCATAAGATATGGCCCTTACGGGAAGGCATAGAAATAGATAAACATCTAATATCGCTAATTAAAATAATTCACGACAATCATAGAGTAGTACCACAACATCTAAATATCAAATCACAGCCGTTTAAAGCCAATAGGGGCCTTAAACAAGCATTCTCTCAACTGTGATATTTATAATGAATGATATTCTGAATAAATCCTTCAAACAAGAGTATGCACTTAACCCACAATATCTCAATAATCAACACAATGATAACATGCATAACTCTCTGAATTTTCTATGTTATGCCAATAATGTATGCATATAAATACATGCTAAGAAATTTATTGTCACTATTTATTAATAATTGCTCTGAATATGGATTAAAAGTGAACTACTCGAAAATCAAGTTAATCGCGTCTAATACATATACAGCTTACATAAACCCCTTTAATTTTGATGGTAATATGGTAGAAATGGTGCCTAACTTTAAATACCCAGGAACCAGGATAATGTCATTAGGCATCACAATATTGGATACAAAATCGAGAACGAACAATGCCAGATTCCAATACCATCAATTGACGAAATTATGTTTTTCCAAACAAATATCTACAAATCAGAAGATAAGACTTTTTAAGTCCCTAATTATACCCATTTTAAATGATATATTAGAGATTTTACAGGACACTAAAATCAATATTAACATATCCCATGCCTTTATAAACATATGCCTAAAAAGAATAACTAAAACATATTACCCATACAACACCTCGAACTCAACTCTCTGGAATAGGCGTGACATCTTAACAATCAATCGACTCATTCCTTTGAGGTGATTTGAATTACTTGGTCATAGTTTAAGACATTCTCAGAAGAATATGATATTATCCTTGAAATGGTCCCCAGATTATGGGAAGCAGAACCCGAATACTATTGACTGGCAAAATGTTTGATGATCAAACTCTTATTTACAGATGACACTCAGCAAAAACAAAAAACACCTAAAGGAACATCTACAATATATGTATCAGGCATGGTCTAAACTAAAATAGTCGTTTGAAAGGAATGAGACTATGCTCACACCTATTTTTTCTTCTTCCCTTGGAAGTTGAATGAAAATTTATGTTTTGGCATTGGTTACCTTTGGTAACAATGGCTAGAATGATCCTATGATGATAATAATTTTGACAACTCTACTTTCTTCTACTGAACACACGATATTGACAACAACAGCAACCATTAAAGAGCTAATAATGATAACAAATACCATTCACTAGGGGTGTATCGATACTATTTTGGAGGTCGATCCAATATTCCCGATATTAAATTGTTATCGGCCGATTACCGATCTGATATCATATCTAATTTTTTATTCTGTAAAGATACCAATGGTTTCATTTTTAATATACTTTTTATTAGTATAACATCTATAATTTAACTATACCATAACTTATGTCATTTAAATATATTATAATGATCAGTTATAGTTTATATTCAATTTCAATTCTAAACTATATAAAATATTTTTATTGTTAAATCCCTTTTATATAATAAGTAATAACATTAATCTATATACATAATAAGTAATTAACAAATATATTATGAAATTTAAAATAAATATTTTAAATAATATTTAACATGAATATATCGAAGATTTCTTTTTAGAAATACCAAAATTTTCTATTTATCAGAGGTCAGCCTAGCAATGGTAACTGTCAATATCACCAGCTTCACTAAAAACAGATTCTGAAGAAATTATCGCACGGTTTTATAAACAGAATGCGCAAAAAAATAACAATATGGCAGAATGTTTATTAATTAATTATTATTATTAAAAAAATATAATACATAAAAATGGATTTCGATTTTATTTATAAAAATAAATGATTTTAGATATAACTTTTTTTAAAATTTTATTTTGGTAAAGACGCCATTTTATATTGGATAGGATCCGGAAATTTTATAACATTGGCCGATAAATGATATTTTAAAATGGGTGAAATATCAGCCCGATCCGATCCGATAAAAAATATCGGTACATCCCTACCATTCACCATAATGATATAATAATAATGATGAGGATCCAGAGCATCATTTAAGTACAAAGAAAGGATTTGCAGGGACACACAATATCGACTTACCAAAGAAAAACAAAAATAAGATATTAAGGATTAGATAACGTATATAACGTTAACTACCAAAAAGGAATATCTACCAATATAATATTTTTTTTCTTCCCTTAAATAATCTAACCAGGTTTTAGATAAATTTTTATCATTGTTATGACTTGACCTTACAATTTTTTAACACTGCCAGCAAGGGAACTGATATATCACCACTTTCTTACTCTTCTCTTCTTTACTATGCTAGCTATAATAAAATGGGTAGACATCATGTATACAATCCATATATTAGTAAAAATACATGGTACTCCTGGTGGGTGATGAAAATGCACTTCATGAAATTTCTGGTGTGGTAATGAATGAATGAATTATATATACATAAAATAATAAAGTATATTATAAATATGGTCACAGTAATTTTTTTTTAAAATAGTAGCAACAGTGAGACAACACTGAATAGAAATGTGAGAGTAAAAATAAAAAATCTTTTTTTAAGTTATATAAAAATGTATTACTTGGATATATAATTGGATTTGTATTTGGTGGATTTATAAAATTATTATATATTGGAGTTGCTGAGTAGTTGCCCTAAATTGATATCTTTTAAATAGATTCATATAATAGTAATAATTTACATTTACAATTGAGACATTTTGAGAAGCAGTTAATTGAGCTGGCAAATTATTAGCTTGCGAAAAATTTCCATCTTTGTGAAGTAAACTCTGTAATAAACTATAATTTTATTTTTGAATAAATATATTTACAGATGCTGTCTTGGAATCAATCAGGCCCATCATAATTTGAGCCTGAAGCAAAGCATAAGCTAATTGTGGATTTTGTAAAAGCATGTTTCTAGCTTCATTATAATTATTCTTTATGCAAGCCTAAAGATTTCAAGTTAATTTATGTATACTATTAATGTAAACAAACTTTTATTTGTTTCATAAGTTCAAACATTTGTTCAGGGGGTAAGCTTGCAACTGCTTTAGTAATGGCTTCAGGTGCATTTTCAACCTTTATATTACTTTGTTCATTGTTAGTTTTAACAACTTTATCATTACTTATATTAGTATTAAGGGTAGAATTATTTTTAAAATTTATGCTATCCATGTTTATATTTTGCTTGTTCAATGTTGAAGGTATAGGAGGAGGCATCATATTGTTAGTAAAAGTTGTATTTGACAACATATTAGGAGGTGGAAAGGAATGATTAGCAGATATTGGCATATTAAATTGATTGTTTGATGGATAATTATGAGATGTTGGTGGCATTTGCATAAATGGTTGTTGACTAAATTCTAAATGAGAATTATATTAAGGCATTTAATTTTTTTTAACGTTTTATTTCCTCCCTATTCTTTTCATTTGTTGCTGTATCTACCCTTAAAACCCTTCCATTTAGTTCAATATTAGATAGATTTCTCATAGCAGACATTGCTGTTTCTTGATCTTTATACTCACAAAATCCATAACCCTTTGGCTTTCCTGTATCTCTGTCATAAACCAATCTAATAAATAGATTATTTCTAAAACTGTTATTAAATCTACCTAAATGAAAGTATTGGTCCAACTTCAGAGAATAACTCTTTAAGTTGTTCTTCTGTGGCCTCATACGGTATATTTCCAACTATATTTCGAATTTATAAAAAAGGGTTATTATATTTAACATACCAAAAACTGATCTTAAAGTACGGTCAATTGTTGGAAAACTGGGTGCAAATGACATTTTATTGTATGAAAATAAAATAATATGACATCTGTAACGTCAATCACGAGATCTAAGATCATAAAATGTTAAATAAAAATAAGAATTTTTATTTAAAAATTATGTTTGCCTATGGTAGAAGAAAGTCCCTTTTCCCATCTAATTCGTTAGTTTACTAAATATCATTAAGCTAATAAACCCCCCCCCTACATTCTACACATAAGCTAATATTCGGAGTATTTTCCCAAAATTTGATTGGAAGTCTTTAGATTCACTGTAATATAGTATATATTATTGTTTATGAAATTATACAAATATTTTATTTTATAATAAAATTAGCTTATATATTATATTACAAATAAAAGTATTAATTGGATACAAAATGTATTTTTTGAATACCTAATATTTGGCAAAGATCGTTATGAACAATATTCTTGGTGATATCGGAGATTAGGAAGAGTTAAAAATAATTTTAGTCATATTAAGCTAGAAAATTATGAAATAAATATAGATTTCATGGTATTAAAAAGGTTGCGAAAGTTTATTACGGTTAAAAAAATTATTTCCATGACAGGGAATTAAGAAATTTATTCATATTTTTTTGAATTATCATCACGTCCCCTCTTTAATTTTTAGAACAAGTTTCGAGATTTTATGTCTTAAGGAGGGTGTCCCTGTTATTCTTGTCGCAATTTTTCATGATTCGAAAGTAAATATGACATATTAATTAACAAGTTAAAGTTATATTTATGTCACATAAAAATAGTTAAACGCATACAATTATAGACATTATTTTACAAATAAAATTTCTGCTATATTTTTAAAGAGTTGGACATTTTCTGCCGACTCATGTTCATGTCAAACATTATATTATAATAATGCCGAGGGGGTTTTAATTGATTACATGTTCTAAATATCAACTCTTTTACATTCATAATATTTGATAGTTGGTATTGGAGTATTAATAATTTTAATTATTCTTTTTAAAATTTATGAAGGGAACCATTATAATTAAAAAGATATAATTAATAAAGTATAAATATCGCCGCCGAAGGCAGCGAAACTTTTTTTTAGGGGGCAGTCATAGGTTTTTGAGGAAGGTTTGCATCTAGAAATCCTGTCATATTGACGCTGCCCTTACCTAGGCCTTTTCCCAAATCGCTTATATAATAAAAGGATAATAAAATTGTGACACTTTGTCCATCGTCTAAATGAACGAGGGGGAGGGGGAGGTGGTAGGAACAGTTTGCATCCAATTTTTATTAAGGGAAATAGGGGGTAGGCACCTTTAAGAGGGGTATGATAAATTTTGGGGGGTTATCTACTAAATATATAAATATAATAGGACAAAATATATTGTTATAAAAATTAATTCATTTCTTTTAGACTTAATATAATACAGTGATATTACTGATAATCGACCAAATACATATTTTACAAACAATCATGGATATTATTTTTCAAATAAAACTTTCTGCTATCCTTTTAAATGTAATTTAAAAGGTTTAAACATTCTCAGCAAACTCATATTCATGCCAAACAATATGTTATAATAATGCATTCATTGTAAATGAGGGATTTTTTAATTGAATTCATGATCTAAAAAATATATGTTTTATATTCACAATATTTTGATAGTTGGTAGGCGAGCTAAAATAATTAAGTTATTCTTTTTAAAATTTATGTAAGGAGTACCAGTGTAATTTATAATGGGAAAACTAGGCATAGGTTTTTGAGGGGGGTTTGAATCCAGTGTACATTATTTGTCACAGATTTTTATCATATTTTGTGTAAAAGTGTACAATACTAGAATTTGGAATCGAACTCATAACAAAATACGATAACTGAACATTTGTCGTAGCAGCTTAGTGTTGTATTCTCTTCGAAACCAACTTGGCATTATGCCTTTACAGGTGGTTCTCATATTTTGAGGTTATTTATTTATTTGATTGCATTTGGTCTTATAAAGGTAGAGATGTGCAATATAGGTATAAGTCGATAGCTAATAAAAATATCTACTAATGAGGAGGTCTAGGTCAATATTTTAATCAACACAAGACAAATAATTTTGACTGTAACTATTTATTCATGGTTTTATTACTTAATAGGTTGAATTTAATCTAGATAAGATAAGGAGAAGGAATCGGTAGGGCGGAGAGGAGCGGGTATGGTAATAATAAAAATTTGAGGTATTGAATAAAAATAATTATAATGTCTTAATTTTAATGAAAGTTATTAGGCTAAGTGAATAGGTCTAGGTCTTGGGGGGTCAGGTATATTTTTATCAACACAAAATATTATGTGTATCGAATAAAATTGAATTAAAATATATTTTGATTGTAATGATAATTGTCACTCTAAGTGGGCAGGTTAGATCTTGGGGGGGAGGGGGGGGGGGGGTAAGAATATTATAATCAACAGAAAATATTAATATGGGTATCAAATAAAAGGTATATAATTATTTTTTGATTACAATGATAAGTAACACTCTATGTGGGCAGTCTAGGTATTGGTGGGTCAGGAATATTTTATAAACAAAAATATTATGGGCATTAAATAATGCTAATTAAAAAATATTTTGACTCAAATAATGGTACTCACTCTTGGTCTTAATGGGTTTGACTTAAACCTGGAAGTAGGGGGAGGGGTAAAAAGTAATAATTGGATATGGGTGTCAAATAAAAAGTAACATTCAGGATCAAATTAAGGATATAATTTTTATTCCCCGTCATTCTTGACGAGCTATCTATCAGTATCCCTATAAACAAGAATTTGAAAACTACGCCATATCTAATAAAAATAGCATTTTTGAATGCGTTAGCATAACTATTTCTTCTGTGATTTCTATAAGTTCATTCTCAGTAATTTCCTGTTCCATTAAAAGGCGTGTGGATGTATTGTAAACAATATATAGAGAAATGATAAGAAGTTTAGTGGTAATTATATTATTTAAGAAATTATCCTTTTTTAAATTAAACACGATTTTAATATTTGTATGATTTTAATATAATTATTCCATCAAACATGCTTACCTTAAAAAAAACTCGTCTCAAAGACAACTCGATCCCGGAGGGACATTTGATTATTTATATATAGTTATTGTCCTAATTTATCTTTTGTTGGTTTCATTCGAGTCTAATCATATTTTCAATTTATTTTCTATATGACCTAGTTTATTTATTTAATATGATAAGACCTTTGACTGCGCCTACACATTTATCCATATCCAAGAAGGTAAATGTATAACGCAAGATCTTAGTTAAAATTCATGATGGCAAGTATTTTATATGTATGTCAGTCAATTTTAGTAATTACTGATATAATTTAGTAATTTATGTTTTATATAAAAATAATTTGCTTTATTATTATTTATACAAGATTTAAATATATTTTATTTTAATATTTGGTTTAGTTTTTGAAAATTAAAAAAAAATGAGAAACCAAATTATAAAAATCTATATAAAAATAATTTAAGGTTATTTATTTTAAAATAACAAAAATACTAACCGTAATCTAAAAAAATATATAATTAACTTTTAATTAAATAAATCTCTTGCTTATTTAATTTCAATGAATATTTTTTCTCAAATTTAACATTAATATTTTATAGCAATTTGTTAATACAGAAATAAATATATGGTTTTGTGTAGTGTTGTTAAACGGCTCGTTTTGAGCCGATTTTTAAAAACGGCTAACTCAATATTTCATCCAGAATAGTATTACGCAAGCCTGAAGATTTTGTTTGTAGAAGGAACAAAGGTTTCGACACCTATTAGCGAGATCTCAAGGCTTAGGCAATATTTTTCTGGCTAAAATATTGAGTTAGCCGTTTTAAAAGATCGGCTCAAAACAAGCCGTTTAACAACACTAGTTTTGTGGATGCCATCATAATTAGAATGAAATGAGAGAGGTAGGATAAATAGGGATAATTTTTTTCTATCATGGGCAAGGGGTTAAAATTGGAGAGAAAGGGGGTTGGAACTTTTTTTTTGTGACTATACAATGACGATAATATTTTTGAATTTGAATAGTCAAATTTATTCATTTATTTAAACAAAAATTTTAAGATTTTAAAAATTATATAATATTGAAAATGTAAAATATATTTATAATATTAATATTACCTGCCAAATATAATTTTTCATTCGACATGCATTAATTTTACGTCATATTATATTTAAAAAACAAGTAAATATAACATCTGACGCTTTGCATCGTCAACCAAAATATTACATGAATTGAATTATTGTATACAAAAATAGGGCATTTTTTCTAGGGGTCTGGGAGTTAAAGGAGTAAACAGCCCATCTGACACGAGTGTGGCATCTAGTTAAAATCTGAACTTGCCCAAAAAATATTTTTGAAGCCAACCTCAATAGGTTAAAGGATTATTTGAAAACTATAGAAATATGTAGTAGGGTTGGTTATACTTAGATTGCGTCAGCGGAATATTTAAAAGACCCTCTTTGGAAATTAGATGAGTCTCGAATTATATCTATATGGCGTGATATTCACTAGAAGTAAACCATCCTCAAAAACCTATACCTATCTCCCTTCCCTAAAAATCCCGATGCGATATCCCATATTATTAATACACGTTTTTAATTATAGTTTTACCCTCTTAATATTTTAAAAAGAATAACTTAATTTATAAATACTCTACTCTAAACTATCAAAAAAAAGTTATTATTTAAAGCATGAATAATTAAAAACACCCTCATTTAAAATAAATGAATTATTATAGTATAATGTTTGGCATGGATATTAGTTTGCTAATAGAATGTCTAAACCTTCTAAATTACATATAAAAAGATAGCAGAAAATTATCCATAAATAAATTTTATTTAAAAAATAATGACTATGATTGTATGCAATTTATAAATTTGATCAATGTTCAGCAATATCATTATATTATAATAGGTCTAAAATAAAAGTTTTAAGTAATTTTTTACAACAATATATTTTGTCCTATTTAATCTGAAAATTTAATAAATCCCAAATAAATTTATTCTATATCTAGC